TAATTTAGACATTAATTGAATCAAAATAGAATTAGTGTTGAATCAAGTGAATAAAACGATACAAGACCTCCAAAGCATCTTTTTAGAGTGCACAATGTCTTATAAGGGAAATTTAATCAAAGATTCGTAGTCACCATAGGTTTGGATCCGTATCCGATCTAATACATGTACATTCCTTGTTGACACAGTTTTTTTTCTGTTCACTGTTCAGCGGTTTTAAATTTATATCCTACCTTTGTTTGTTTATTGTTTAACGTCCCTTTCGACAATTTTTACTCATATAGAGACTGCACCATTTCTCAGGTGAGACCTACAAATGTTGTCCTATACTCGAGACTCAGGGTGATTAAGCAGTGAGGGATCTTTTGTCGTACCAACACCTTCTGGGACATGGGACCTCGATTTTGGTCTTCCTAAGAACAGGAAAACTAGTACCTTTTTGAACCTTAATCTCTTGAATTTCAAAAATTTGTTTATTACTTATTATCAGATTGCTTTGACGTAATTGAATCGCATATCTTCATGTTCTATAAAATCAGTTTAATGATTTTAGCTGAAAACAAATGGATCATCTTTTAATTTTCCTAAGGCGCATGCTTGACGCACGATTATGAGTAAATGGGATTCATAGAAAACATGTTTCTCTAAACCTTAAACAACAATTTCAAAATCAGTATGAAGTAAATTGAGGTAAAAGTCATGCATGCATACCGCGCTGCATCTGTTATTTCGCATAGTACTTAAGCTCAAAATTTGAAATGGGGCAGGCTTAACACTGATCTCTCCAAGATCCCTATCTGGATAATCTCCCACATGCACTAAATAGTAATCATTCCTGCACCTGCCAACCGGCCAAATTGATTTTATGATGCAGGCTTATTTTTTGCAGATATTTTTCTAAGCAATGAATAACTTGCAAGAGCTTTACAAATTCAGTATCTGTTATGTGTATGGAGTTAATTATATAATAGCCTATAATTTCCTTTTGGAGGATTCCAATCTGGTTCAAAACTCAAAGAGCGACTTGGAAGTGTTACATCCTATCTTAGAGAAACGTGTTTGTTTTTTAACGAGTCCTAGACACATCTGAACTTTGATACAGTAGTAAAATGTCTAAACATATAGGCATATAATACAAATGTTTCCCTGCGAATTTGAACGATTCTATAGTATACCAATTATATATATAATTAGTATCAAAATTTCTCTTTTTATGTTTGCACTTATTTATATTTTATCGTCATTTGATAATTTATTGCTAATCGACTACTTTCTGCCTTTATTTGTCATTATAATTACAGTTTTAAATACATTACTGAAAAAATGTGTTTTTGATTTTTTTTTTTTTTTTTATTTGCATTATTTGTTTGTGAAAACTAGATGAAGATACTATTCGTTCCTTTCATGATAAAAGAGCATTTTACAAAGCTTGAAATATAAAAAATGGGTGGACTTAACTGGCCAGAAAAAATGCATATATTTATCAATTTTATTTTTTTCCTATATAAACTTATATCAATTTACTTTTAATTTTAAACGCTTTTTAGAGGAAATTAAATGAATATCGAAGGCATGGTAATATTTCTTGAATATCAAATTATATATGAATACATAACACATGTTTGTCGGCTGTTCTTAAAAACTGCTGTTGTATACTGTAATTTTATATCAAAATTAGAAGAGCAATATTTTTATTTAACAAAAAACATGTTCGAAATAAAACTTAGCTTCCATTGTTATGTCTTCGAAACCTTTTAATATTAAATTCATCACAACCAGAAATGTCCACCTGCGAGTGTACTCGTGAAAACAGTTAATTGTATTTTCAACCTGACCTCGCTAAATTATGTCTGTTTTTTGTTGCCGTTTTCCGTAAAAATAAATATTGTTTTATTTTGAGATTTTTAAAATAATGACATTTGTTTTTATAAATATTGATTGTGTGAAAAAAACCAGTCCGGGTACATGTATTTTGAATCCCAACAGTATTGACAATTTTAGAAATACAAAGGGCATTGTTTTTTACACATTACATGTATAACCAAGTATATATAGCTCTTTCCATTGCTAATTATATATTTTGAATTCCTTTATTAACAGCTTAGAAACTAAGAGGTACAAAATAGTGAGCTTTACTTTTAATAGAAAATCTGTAATATTTCCTTAAATTATATATGAATTAACCCCTGAATGGTAATTGTATTTAAAATAAAACAAAATAACAATATTTTTATTTAAAGGGCAACATAAAATTAGTATTTTGCTGAAATTTGAGGGAAAATCACAACCAGAGATAGCATAATTTTTTCAATGCGTCCTGTTTAAAGGTCTATTTGAGATTATTTATTTGATTTTGTGATAAAAAAAAATTGTATAATATTTTGAATACCAACAGATAGACATCTTAAAAATAAAGGGTGTCATATTTTTTACACATTATGTTTAATGGCTACTTAGGTAATTTTCATCTTTTCTGAAGGAAATAGACCGACTCTCAGTAAAGATATCATATTTAACTCCATTAGGGGTCTTTGTATCTATTAGACATATTCTGATGCAACCTGCTGATAAATAGATATGCAGAAAGCACCCGAGAGCAATGGGTTGGCTCATTGATAAAAAGATAAATACATTCATAGGTTTTTAAATGAAATATAAATCATAATTAATCTGAAAATACTGTAAATCATTTTAATTCCACGGTGTTAAAATTTCACGATATCTTAAAAAATACCAATTGCGACGGGTTTAATTTCACGCTGCAAGAAATGAATTCAAAATTTCGAATAAGCATTTAAAGGTTTCTTAAAACTAATAATGACATCCACGATTGGTTTACTTTGGCGGAAATATGATAAATCGCGAACGTAGCGAAATTCAAACCATTATGTTTATTTGCCAATCTACAGTAGTTAAATCCTTCTTGTTAAGTCAGAGTATATCACAAAATCTAAGGTCGGCAAGGTTATATGTATACTAATAAATGATTATAAAAATAATAAAACACAGTACTCGAAATCTCAATTCAACACAAACTTACAAGTAAATCTGTCAAAATACTTTTTGTATGCACACATAAAATATACAAAAGAGATTTATTGTAATAATTCCGTACACCTTGCTAAAATAATTTCCTTTAAGAATTTGCATTTAATTTATTCATTAATTTTATACAAGTACATGCATTTTGATGTTCATCAACAAAACATTATCTAAGCAAAGCAAGACATCAGGGAAAAATGATTTTAAAATGTAATGGATAAATATATATTTACGTTTCAAACGAGATTGACAAGATTCATTTGATCCCCTCTAAATCTGATATTCATTATATATTCTTTTTCTTCATCATTTTCCTTGCAAATTAAAGAAAATAAATATAGGCATATTCATGAGTATGGATATTAGCCTTCAAATCACTTGTTTTCTCTGTTCCAATTTGGTATTGTTTAATGCATTGTTTTGTTTTTTTTTTATTTTTAAAATAACGATCAAAATGGAAAGAGCAGCAGGTTTATTAAAGACCTTAATGTAAGAATGAAGCACTAAAGCAGGTATCTAAATCAAACAATTCTTTTAATCTTTATCTATGCTCCCTGTTTCGCTGCATGCGTTTCTTATTCTGAGATTTACGAATAGTGTAACTCTTCACCTTTATTTCATTTGATAAAGTCGAACAAACAGCTTTCTTCCTTACAGCATATTTTCCATTTCTGTGTCATTGATCTGTTCTTATGGTTGTCAAAGGTTTGGTCTATTTTTTCCAGTAGTTTAAGTATTCAATCTCTCAAACTGATTTCTTTAACAGTTTCTCTGGGGTGTTTTTCTCTTCTTTCTTTTGCTTAGCGATGGAACAGTAATTGTCTGTCGTTTAGTCTTCGGCCAGAGTCATATGTGTCTGTTATTAGCTTATCTGTTTTTATATATTCATATGAAGCAGAATTTATAGAAAAAAATAATTCAACGGCAGATGAAGTAAACACTTGCTTCGTCATCAATTCGACGTTTATATATCGACGATGTATAACGATTTTACCAAATTGTTACTTATATTCGTTTGTCTTTTCGACATATTATAGAGAACTTAAAGAAAAAAACACCGCAGGGTTTAAAACTTCTGTTTCAAATTTGGATGTTTTACTATGGACTTGTTGAACAAGATGACTTCAACTCTCCTGATTTATTTTTGTAGTTCACTCATATAGAGACATCACCATATACCGATGAAAGGCTTCAAATTTTCACCTTTCCTAGGCACTTAGGGCCATTGAGCAACGAGGGATCTTTATCGTGTTACGTTTGCTGTGACACGAGGCCATTGAGCAATGAGGGATCTTCATCGTGTAACGTTTGCTGTGACACGGGGCCATGGAGCAGTGAGGAATCTTTATCGTATAACGTTTGCTGTGACACGGGGCCATTGAGCAGTGAGGGATCTTGGTCATCACGAGCCAAAGTATGCTGTGTCATGGAGCCACAGTTTTAAGGTCTGATCTGAAGGACATGCAACTTTCACTTCAAGTAAAATCCACCTGTGACATGGAAAGCCACAGTTTTAAGAAGTTTCATCACATTAAGAAAATTAGACCTGCAACCATAGCAGTTTTCACTTGAGATGCAAAGAGCCTGTATAATATATATATAATACTACTTATTTGTAAAAAGTATATTTACAATGTATCGTATAAATATTCAGTATTAACAAACACCTTTTTTACGCTATACTCGTAGGTCCAGCGGCCCCTTCGAGATTACTTTTAAGAACTCACTACCTTACATAGCCGAGCGCATGACGAAGGAACATTTACTACCTTTTCTCTAGGTCCGACCGACTGAGCTAGCGCCCTATCGACTGAGCTAACGTGAACGGTCTATGAGACTAATTACTGTTTGATGTTTTTATGTTTTTATCTTCATGTGCTTGAATATTTCCATATATGTGGAAAATAAAAATACGTCCATACAGTGTCAAACCTTCTATAGCAAAGAAAAGTCATCACTGATTTTATCAGTCTTTTATTCATTTTTACAAACTACGAAATCAAAAGAAGGATTCAGATTCCTGGCCTTTGTTTACAAAAGCTGCAGAACATAACTTTAATAATTTTCAAAAGCATTTTTTCTAAATATTTATGCTTACAAGACCTAATGATTACATTAATTTTACATAATATACATAATATACACGATACCATTTACTAACAATGGTACTTTTTCTGAAGAACATCTTATACTCTGTATGAAAAATAAATCTATTTATGTACACTGTATCTAGAGCTTCATACATGCATAAAGCTTTCAAAAGTAATGGGGAAAGAAACATTTTTATTTTGTTTTATACAGTAAATGAGAGTTATATTTGGGCTGACTTTTCCAGAAGAAATCTGCCTTTGAGGCGTACATATTGGCTTGTGCAGCAGAAGTGTAAACAAAGAATAAGTTCTTTTTCTTGGATTTCAGGATCTTCTTTAATATCAGGTCCAATGTATTTGTTCTACAAAAGATCCATTCATTTTGAATAATATCTTTCACTATCCATTATGTTAATAAGAATATCGCACTGTCAGAAGGACCTAGCGACTTTCGACACGCAGAGATTTTTATTTTCAATTGTTTACCTAAAACACATAATTCTTCATTTCTTAGAGATGTATATACCTCGGCTACGATTATAAATACATAAATAAATTTCCTATGAAATGTTTCACAATATTTTAATTTTCTCATAAAAATGAACATAAGTATTGTGAGGAGCCCACGGCGGGTGCGACGGGCCAAAAGGGGATGTTCACTCCTCCATGGCATCTGATCCCAAATCTGTTTTGGAGGTCCGTGTTTACACTGCTCCTATTTTGTATTGTTTTATGGATTTTTGAGCTTGAATACTGTTCGCTATCTCCATATATTTCATTGTAAAGAATGATGAAATACGCTTTTCTGTAGATTTAGTTACCTTCTCTCTGCACTTTTAACGATTCCATTCAGACATGTCTGTTTCAAAGGGGAGTAAACTTTATTTCCACAGCACATATGCTTCGATGCATTCGTCAGCACTGTGACTGTACCTAAAATATAATGAGGTTTATGTTTTACGACTTGCCATAAAAAGACCGTGTTTCTGATATAATATAAAGCATTGCGAAATGACTTGACTCACCTTTTGTTAAATCAGAATGACTTCCACAGCTTATAACAATCTCTCCGTGACATATTTGTAATTCCGTTTTGTATGTCCTCTCTGTTGGCAGAAAAGTAAATATAAGAAAAATGTTCAAAAATTATATTTGCATGTCTATTCAAATTACAAACACAAAATATTTTCTCTTCTTTTTAAATCAGACATTTATTTCTCCAGAGTACGAACAAATATCTTTAATTTTTCCATCCCTGATCAAACGCTTTCTACTATCGGTTAATTATTATGATATTCCTATCATAAAAATTAAAAACAATCTCCGGCCTTCATACATTCTTAAGAAGTATAAATTGATAAAAATCTTTTACATTAGAAGTAGAAAATGCTTTCTTCAAGTTCTTTAAATCGAAATTCAAAACTATTGACGAGGTTTTATAAATTAACAACATGCAGTTTCTTCTATTAGTATGTCGTTTCGATGTACCCCACCGGTCACGGTAGCTTAGTGGTAGAGTGTTTGTTTCGTGATCGGAGAAGAGGGTCTGATTCACGTTCGCGGCACTGCGTCAAATCTAAGACGTAAACATACATGTAGGTAGTGACAGTTCCTTCGCCAATTATAGCGCTCGGCACTAGAAACGAAAGTCACGGATCTTTGGGATATTAACCTTAAAAACATACGTCCTGTGTCACGGTAGGCGTTGGCACGATAAAGAACCCTCACTGCTCAATGGCCCTAAGTGCCGAGTATAGGTCTAAATTTGAAACCCTTCACTGACATACGGTGACGTCTCTATAATAGAATGGGATATTAAAGCTGAACACGAATCGTAAATAGGCATACACCATTTTCAATATCATTATCTACAATACATCCTCTTTGCATCCGTTACACCTGACTGATTTATTGAGACAGGTATCGGCGTGGAATGGAAACCAATGTGTGAATGGAAACCCGTGTTAGTGCTGGTTCTCTTGCACTAACTTTGTTTACATTTAATTACAGTTACGCATACATTTGTATTTGTTTGTATACTGCACTGACCTGTGCAACTGTTGTAAATGTCTTTCGTATCTTACTTTCCTGCACTGGAAGAAGTATACAGTTATTATTGTCGAGTATTGTAAATATTGTATAGCATAAGTCCGTGTACACCGGTGAAAATACCTTACACTGAACAGTGACTACGTGATTCCCTCTATATTTACAGGTCTGCAGATATAGCGAGAGCTCGGACAAATATGGCGGACAATTTCTTTTTAGGAATCCTGATCAGCTTTAAATCAATAGATGTATCCAGCGAACTCGACATAAAAGATACAATAGAGTCTGCTATATCATGTTTGGATATTTCACTGACGATAAACTGTATGACAAACAAAGTGACCTAGCTTTGTCAACTTTCCTTATTTATGTAGTGATATTCAATGCACATGTATATTTAAGGAATAACAGTATAATTTTTTGGGTTTCACAATGTGATAAATAGAGTGGATCGCGTGATTATTTACATAAACGCCGAAGGCGCGCTTATGCATAAAATTGTCACTTAAGCCAATTGATTGATCTTCGTCATGAAAGCAAAAAATGTGAGAGTTATTCCTTATATATATTGAGATGCTCTTGATTCCGCAAATCCACGTGCTCTCAACCCCGCTTCTGTCACTATTTGTCCCGCCCCGCACATAATTTTTAAAACCGCGGATATCAATATAATGTATGTAGAAATATGGTACAGTACATTTACTATTTGTAATTTTATCTCGGACAAAGACATTGGAAATGTAATCAATGGGGTTTTAAACGTGCTCCAAGTACGCTGAATTTTTTACATGTAATTTTATTTCAAGTCAGTTTTTTTTTAAATCTGTGATCGTTATTTCGAAACTGTTAACAGCTAAAAATCAAAGGTTTTGTCGCAATTCATCTTTTTTAATAGCAATTGTTAATTATTTGATTTTGTTTTTGTTTGTCTGGTCAATGCAATCGGGGATCATGAGGGGTAATCGCTCTTTCGTCTCTGACATCGACCCCACCTGTTGAATTTCTATATGTCCGTATTTGATGCGCTTTCACAGCTTGATCGATATTGTTTGTAGTTTTTTTTTTTAGATCATCTGGTATTTTATATTTTCACTTTTTCATTTATCTTCAAAACACTCGTGGAGTACATTCTTTTTTGTTTGCATTACATAAAAGAAATGTAGAAAAAAAAAATAGTTTGAAGTTAAACTATGTTTTATAAAAGTTTCAAAAGATATATTTCTAGCTATTTTAGATAAATCTACGTCAATTCATTGAAAAGGAAAAATACATATGTAATCTGTAATGAAAGCAATAATGAAATGAATAATGAAAGCAATAAGTTGCAAAAAAATCAAATATATGGCTACGTGTTTTATAAATTAAATCATATCTTGCCTCCACAGCAGTCCATTCTTTGTCCTAGATGATATTTTTCGTGCACTCCTGACTTTCCACAACAGATCTGAGTAGATGCATTGAATGATTGTTCCAGAATTGTATCATTTTTTGTGTACACGCATCGTAGTGATTTTATCACTGAAAGAAAGAAAGACCCCATTTCCCTAGAATATTGCAAATTGGAAGTATATTTCTCTAAAGTGTTATTACATATTTAATATAACTCACCGTAGCCAAAAGTGGAAGAAAAAACGGTTATAAGTAAAAGCCAGAATAAAGCTGATTTATATCCCATCTTCTTCCGATTTATACAGCTTGAATAATTAATGTCAAGTAAGCTGTATCTACACTCAGGTTTTTTTATACTCCATGGAAGCAATGTGGGTAGGTGGCTTTGGAAAAATCTTGATATTTTGTAGGAAAATCCATTTTATGAGCTACTGTATTCTTGAACGTATCTATATTTACTACCTACGTGTAGAGGCGGTGGTACTTACCAGGGGACTTTTTCTGTTTTTGCAAATTTAAAATTATTTGTTGCTGATGAAAATTTTGTCAGCTGTTATAAAACGCAGTCCTACATATAAGTCATTGAAACGTTGACACAATGCCCTTTCCAAAAGAAAATTTGCAGACAGGTAACTATGTAAAGTGCACACTGTATGAGTCACTTAAATCTGGGTCTCCTGTAGTAAAAATAGGATGTTTAAATTTTCTGTCTATCCATTTAATCCATCGATATATTTGATACAAATTATTTTGTCTCTGCAAAATATAAAAACAAAAAAAAACAAACAAACAAACAAAAAACAACAAACATTTTTCAACAAATGAATGTAAATAACTGTTTTTGATAGATACCGCACAAATGTGGAAAAAATTAAATAATATATTATATAATAAGTGCAAATATTCCTCGTAATACCTAAACTGCAGCTTATGTGTGCATTGTTTTAAGACAAGGGAAAGGTGTCTAATGTGTGAAAATCACACATTTGCGTTCAAAATATTCTTTAAACATTTTTAAAATTTTATCTGCGATATCTTTGATTTTTTCAACCGTTAAAAAAGAAAACAATTATCATGTTCACTTGTGTAACTGAACTATTTTTACTTCTGGCACAGAATGTACATGAATACAGTGAGAATGAATTATTTAAATCCCAGATGTAAACTTTATCCTAATAATAAAATATTAGAGACTTAAATAAAAAATATGGATTTTTTGTATGGAATCTGTCAATTGAAATTTAAATAACAGACAAAGTATTTGGTCAAATTCACTTTCATTGATAATTTAGGCATTAATTGAATTAAGATAGAATTAGTGTTGAATCAAGTGAACTAAACGATACGAAGATACACACATCATCTTTTCATAATAAACAATGACCTGTAAGAGAAATTTAATCATAGAGTCGTAGCCACTTAGAGTTTCCACCTGCACCGATCTAATATATTAAAATTTCTTGATGTCACAGTTTTTTTTTTTGTTTTTTGGGGTTTTTTTTTTTTGAACAAACTTGCAATAGCAGCGTGGTGTCAATTAAACGTACCGTTCAGCCTTAAAGCTTTAAAGATGGTTTAAAATTTAAATAATTATATCATATTATAGTTTTGTTTGTTTGTTTATTGTTTTAAGTTAACATCCCTCTTGAGAATCTTTTATTTCTATAGAGACGTCATCATTTGTCAGTGGAAAACTGCAAATGTTGTAATTTACTCGGCTCTCAGAGCCATTGAGCAATGGGGGATCAACACCTTCTGTGACACGGGACCGCAATTTATGCAGTCTCCCTGTGTACAGGAAATCTACTTTTTTAACCAACAGGAGCACCTAATTTTGATTTGTTCTTTTTTTGTTTTTAACCTTGAAGACAGCACACATTAATTAAACTGACACGCTCTTCTATGGCCTGGTTATATATCCATTCATTTTGATCTGAGTAGTTTGTAGATAAACGTAATTTCAAAGAGACAATTCAGCAACACTGTTATGATTTTATTGCAATTAGCACGCGTTGATTGTATCAATGATGTATGAACTCATTCAAAATTTTACCATCTGATAGCAATACTGCCTAGTAAAACGAAAAACAAAGCTTTTATCACGGATGACTCTACCAAAGACAATAAATTTACACTGTAGATCTATCAGTTTAAAATTTTATTGAATTTATTTATTAACTCAGATTTGCTTCGTAAATGCAGAAAGTAACAATAGAGAATTTTAGTTGACTCTTAAGAACATCTTTTATATTTTCATCAGGTTTTTGTAGATGAAAAACGTTTTTGAAATGAACTTAATTTTTTTTTTAAATATCAAAAATTTACGCAAATATTGGAATATTTGGAATATTTAAGGCTATTTGGAATGTTAAAATATCTAAATTTTCTATCTTTAAGAGAAAAGCAAAAAGATGAAAATTCCCAAGAAAATTAAAAGTATTAAAACAATTCTTTAAGAGTATTTATGTTGTTGCTGATATGGACCTAGTTTAAGTTTACAGTGTTTTACATGACAAAGTACTGGAAAATATTTATTAATAAACACTAGATCAGGTATTTTGTATTTGACAGTAATTTGCTAACTGTTGACATGACTTTGATGTTGGGTTTTATTATGTTATTAGAACTATATTTACAATGGTTTAGGTTGATATAACATATGGCAAAATGATTAGTTATCTATTGAAATACACTGTCTCAATTTAATACACAATGTAACGCTAGTTTAATCTTGTAAGAATGTGATAATTGAAGACGATTGATATCGTTTACATATCAATACAAAATATAAATATTTCAACAATAGCAATCAAAATACCGCGGATTTCTTTCTTTGATAAAAATGATAATTTACTCCAGTTCTTGTGGAGATATTTAAATCCCTGATGTATGGCTTAAGGTTACCTGGTCTTACAAATCATTTAAAGTATTCAGTCGGCGGTAGCTATTATAATTTATAGGAAATTTCTACCGTAGGAAGCGTATCCGAGCAAAATATTTTCTGACTTAAAGTCCCTTGTAATTTATTATACCACCGTCTTCAATATTTACCCATCTTCAATGCTGCAGAAATGATCCGTCGATTTCTTGAATATCCATGTATGTCAGCTAGTACATGTACATAATATTTTTAAACTCAATTCCTAAATTTATTTTGGTATCTTACTTTGATTTAGAAGACAAAGTTTTAAAAACAGGTATTGCAAAAAGTAAACATGCATGCAATCAACTATTTCAGAGAACATTCAGATTTTAGTGAAACCACTTTCAAAATTATCGAGAACAGAAGGGGCAATTCTGTGTGTTTTTTTTGTTAGAAAATGCAGTTGGAGAAATAAGACATAAATTTTATTGATCTAGTTGAATATATCTAAATTGTCAACATTTACAAATATTTTAGTCAGATATTTTTGAAAAAAAAATTAAAATAAATTCATGCTGTTTCAAAATAAAATTTTGTGTTCTTACCAGACATTCACAACATAGTAAATATTTTAAGACATGGGAATATATACTCAACAAAAAAAAAGAACCGCATATTGTTTTACTCATAAAAGAAATTTTGAAAAAGTATATATAATAACTACCTTTTTTTATCATTGGGTACCTGTGATTTGTTTAAAGGACAACATGAGATTTTAAAAAAACACGTGTTGAATTATTTCCTTTGAATAATCATGTTTATGATACATGAAATAGTGATTTCTTGTAAATCGAGGATCTATTTTTATTGATATTTTGGATTTAGAGAAACAATAAACACTCCTATTAAACCTATATTTAAGATTTGATAACAATGTCGATGTTGCAATTTCACGCCTTATTAAAGATGAACGCAACACAGGCTAACTATGATGATAACCGGAGCTACGCAACTGGAGGTAGCAATTGCATTTAGTGTACATCTATCGGCTTTGCAGACGTTTAACATACGTCTCCAACGGCTAAGAACACAAATAAGAGACCAAAACTGGCCGTCAGCGGGTTACCACACCCAGAAAGGACCGTCAGACCCCCCTTTCAGCAATCGATTCAGAACTGCTGTACAAACTGCTGCTACTATTGCTGGTTGAAGAAATCAGCAAAAAAGTGCACAAATTGTTCGCAAGAGCTAGACTGATTAAAGTGGCTAAAAAATAAAACTATCGGGTAAGTAAAACGCAAATATACACATTACTATATATATTTACTCACTGAGTTGTCCACAGACTTTTTCAGTTATTTCTCAAACATGAGCACATGGCGGGTGTGATCAGTCGGTAGGGGATCTCCACTCTTCAATAGCACCTGATCCCATCTCTGATGATTTGGAGGTCTGTGTTTGATCCGCCTCTAAATTGTAGTGTTTTATGAGCCTTTGATCTAGAATACTGTCTGTTATCTTCACATATTTCATACCAAATGATAAATCATTTTTAAAAACAATGAAATTTGAGTTTGCAGCACTGTTAAGGCCTACTATGAGAAATCAACGGAAAATAGATATGCAAAAAGGAGGAGTTTTTTAAAACTGAATTTATTTTAATTAAGCTGTTTTATTATGACAGAACTTTAATACTAATGGAAATAGCATAGTATGTCTGTACTGTATGAAGTTTGGTCCCATCGATGGACAGTCACGTGATGAATGCATAGTTCGTGTACTGAATGTAGGTCATTAACAAATTTCAATTTCGCAAGGGCATACCCTAATTGAAAATAAAAATTCAAGCTTTTTATTATTTCTGCATAATTTGTTGTTTCTGAAAAGTGCTGCTGCTTTGAATAGAATTCGCTTTTTAATAGTTAAATTTTCAAGTAAATAGGCCAATGTCGAAATATGTTTGACTTTTAACAAATATTTTGTATACTTATAAAATCACGCCTTCTATTTAAAGAAAGCAGCAGCACTTTTCAAGTTAAGGAAAATATCCTTTATCTATTTTCAAAAAATGGTTCAGATCTATGCAATGTATGTTTATTTTATGAGACTTCAATGTAAAATATACGTAGCCTGTAAATAAAAAACACGACATTATTAATAAAATACATTCTCTTGATAGTTAATTAATAATCGCACTATACAAGGGATATATATTGGTATTAATCGACTATTTAAAACCTGTTAATAATATTCCGTTTAATTATAAAACGCATTTTTCATTGTTAAAAAATT